ATAAATGCTCTTCAAGTGTCCTTCCTCACTGATGGGATAGCCCACTGTGACGTCATCAAACTGGGACATAAATTCAGCCTCGTCCAACCAGAATTCACCCTCTGCCACCCTGGCTTGTAGCTCCGAAGCACAATCAGGGGCAACAGAATCCCAACCTGCACCTCTGCAGAGAGAGAGGCAAAGAAACATCATCTGGATTTTCCCACATTTACAAATTTGTTGATGTAGATGTGAATTCCAGAAATGCACTCCAAATTCCGTATAATAACTGTGACTTTAGTGAGATAAAATCACAACTTCAGACAGACATCAGTTATATCTAATGGCTGCGACTAAAGTCTGAAATCTTAAAGCCAGTGCTGTCAAATCTAATGAATCACTTTATAAATTGAGTAACCTTTGAGTAGAGCCCGGCCAATTTATTTATTGACAGGTTGATATGAGCTAGTTGCCAATCTATCAACCAAAACTAAAAGATATAGAAGATGCGCTGCTGTGTTGATGTTGCACAGTTTGTCCACCAGATGGCACTCTGCAACTTCCCTGTTGGGAACACTCCAAACACAATAAAGCAGCTGATCCAAGCAGAGTCAGACATAAATGAGCAAAGAAATAACTAAACACGAAAAAAACAACAACATTGGTTTATTTTTTGGAATATCTGACTTTTAAATCACCAAATATCAGCAGAACTCTACCTTTAAGAGCTGTCACCAGAACCTAACTATGTGAATATGCTCCTGTGTGGCTGTGGATCTGTAGAGTGATGGCATCAACTAGTAGCTAACAGATCAGCTGTCTTGTTTTGCTTTCTTTTTTGTGAATGATTTAACTTTAAAAATTTAAATCAATGTCCAAATACACAGTTTTTGGAACAATCTGACAATAATGAATTACAGTAGTCCAGCCTAGAAGTACTGAATGTGTGAACTAGACATATCACACAAATTCAAGATAGTGCTCCTTCATTTGTTTAATATTTTCCTGATCAAAAATGACCATGAGATTCATCACAGTGTTACTGGAGGCCAAGGTACTGCTATTGAGAATATTAGGTAAATAAAAGGTAAATGGACTGGTTCTTGTATAGTACTTTTCTGAGCACTCAAAAAGCTTTAATCTTAAGAACATTTGTAATCTGTAATTTGAAGCATCTGGTTTAACAACTTTCAACTCCACACATCTGGGTGTCAGATATACTCCACAATAGACAAGTCTGACACACACCTCCATACCCAGGCTCCTCCCCAGTAGCGTCTTCCCCAAGGATTTCTGATCCTTAGCAGCCGTACTTCACCCCCTGACACCTTCTTCACATCCAGCCACTCCATGACAGTCAGAGCGTGGTACTGATCCAGCTCAGTGAGTCCTGAAACAGAGAAGGCCAGCAAGTGATGTGGCACAGCATCACTCACTGTATTATCTGTGAGCAGACACTTTTCTGACCTCCGGGCGTGCTGTGAGTGGAGCAGCTGAGCGCGCAGTCATCCTTCACAGGGTCCAGAAGGTTCAGGTCCAGCCTTCTCTTTCTGACTTGGTCACTGTCCTGTGCTGTTTGCTGCTCCTCCTCCGAGCCAAAGTCACCCAGGCTCCATCGCTCGGCTAGACCACCTGTCAAGTCCACCAGGGCCTCGGACACCTGACCTGCCCACAGTCGCTCGTATGAACCACGAAGCCTGCAGAAGATGAAAGGGAAAGGAAAGGGGGGTTTCAAACTTTTCCTCATGATTAGGTCTTGTTTGAAAAATACATGTTAATCTCAAGGAATCAACTGACTTGGCATAGGCCTTCTCCAACAGGGCAACCCAAAAGGCAGTGGGGGAGTGGCAGCGTGAGAAGCAAAGAGATGAATTAATGCAGGGCAGACGGTCATCAATGGTCACCTCTGTCCAGTGTCCCTGCTGCCAAAAGCAAAAATGAAAGCAGCCTCTGTACCTGCTGTCACCCCACTGTGGCTGATCTTCAGGCAGAACCTACACAGGATCCAACGACAATGCGAGTGACAACAGGAAACACACGATGAACATTCTCCACATTTAGAACAAAACCAGTGCTGGGGCTCACAAAATCAAACTGATGAGACAACCAGCCTGTGTTACCTTGTTTAAAAGCTGTTTGTTCTTGAGCAGGAAGGTGCACGCACAGAGGAACCAGCAGTCTCCTAACAGGCCTTGCTTTGCATGCCCCAGGCTGATGCTGCTTGGGAAGAGAGCTGGTGACGGGCAGATCTCCTTGACATGTGAAATGGAAATAATAATTGGGACTGAGACAGTGATATGGCTGGAAACAGCAGAGCAGGTTAATTTATTAATTAACTATTAATTAATTATTAATTTTTTTTTGTGAGATACAGAGCAGTAACTTTGAGAGTCCTTCATAATCAGGTCAACCACCAGAAAAGGGAAATCCCCTCATCTTGTGAGGCGGCACAAGCTAATAGGCCACAAATGTCAAGCCCTATGTGGCAGGATCTTATCAATAACAACACCCGATCAATGGAAAGATAACCAATAAGGAATTTTCTGGGCATTTCCGCTAGACAGGCTTACTTGGGGCCGTAGCCAGGTGATGTCTCCCTGCAGTCTGGCCAGAGGCGTGGAGCTGCCAGAGAACAGGGAGGCGTCCACACAGCGGAAGTCCGGGTCCTCATACAGAGCTGGACCTCCGCACTCGTCCCTGCCCTCTTCTTTCATGGCTCCTGCTGCTTTCAGCCTGGAAACCTGCTGGACCAAAGGCCACCTTCACTGCATGTACCTACATATAACACTTGCATTACACCTTAACTACATTATGCATTCGTGAAGTCTGCACGGATCTGAGAGGAAGCTGCCGTTACAGAGCATCACTGACTTTTACGGCATATTCACCTTCACGTTTTAGCTTTCACTCACTCAATACCAATGACATACTAACATGAATATACAAAGAGATGTTGGAAACATAATGTCAGAAACAGCATGTGTGTATTTATCTTACCTTGCTCCTCTTTTAAGCTCATTTCGCCACGTAGCTGTCATTGTGTATAATAGCATCGTTAGCTCGAGCTAGCTTGCACAGCACAGACACACACAGCAGGTACGCTAGCGTCTCCATATCGCTTCATCTTATCGTGGTTTCAAATCCATAACCACAGCGGTTTTCTCTCAGTGTGACATATTTAGCGATGAGTAAAAGTTATATCGACAGCAGACATAGCGTGATGGTGAAAATAAAACAGACACGGGGTCTTCCGGTGATGCAGTGAATCCTTCCTGTGCTGCGGCCACTGCCGCCCACTGCTGGGATCTCTGAACTGCAGGAACACCGTGTTTCAGATTCCATGGATACATCCAGCTTAAAGCGGGGGGAAAACTCTAAAAGTGTAGAATGTTTTTGTTGAGATTTACCATAATACATTATGAATTAGGTAAAGGTTTTACCAAGTGATTACAGAAAAAATTATATAATTATTTTTTGCTGTCATTGAGGGAAATAATGTAAATAATAGTTTATTCTCTGCAAAGCGGCCAGAATTGTGGCTCCCAGTGACTGGCTGTGTGCTATGTGACATTCAGTCAGTCTCAAACCTCCTTTCCTCAGCCACAACACTGAAGATGGGTCATTCCAGCATGACAGCAACCCAAACATACCACCAAGAAAACAAAGGAAAAAAGCACATGGAGGTCATGGACTGGGCTGGCAACTCTCCAGATCTCAGTCCTGCAGAAAATCTGTGCAGTGTGCTGAAGTTTTGTGAGACAACCAAGAAATCTAAAGGGTTTATGTAAGGAGGAGTGAGCCAAAATCCCTCCTGAGATGTGTGCAAACCTGGTGACTGACTACGATAGAAACGTCTTGCCAACAAGGGTTTCTCCACCAAATACTAAATCGTGTTTTGCTTAGGGATCAAATACTTCTTTGACTCAGCAGCGTACAAATATTTTTATAACTTTTATTTGTTTGGTTGTTTTTCGATTTTTGGTTGATATTCTGTCGCACTCTGTTAAACTGAAACTACCATTAAAATTACACTGTTCATTTTCTGTAAGTGCTCAAACTTCCAAAATCAGCAGGAGCTCAAATAATTATTTCCCTCACTGTAAATGTAGAAGTAGTAAATGCAGAATACCACCCTCTCTGTGTAAATTGACGATTTTGTAGAAATCTGTAGGTTATTAATTTGCCTTTTTTTTAATCTGATGGGGATCTGCAGTGTGTGGACTGTGTGGGTGCTGTAATAAATTTCTTCATTTCTTTTTTTAGTTTGAGTGCCTGCTGTGGGCATGCAGGACGTGCCACACTCCTAGGAAGGAGAAAGACACCTACTTGTGGTTGTCTGTCTGTCTCATGTCACTCATTAGTCATTTTACATTTTTGTTTTACCTTCATACACAGTTCATGAGGACATCTGGCATCATTTTTGTCTATACTAGTCATCCTGCACCCCTTTGTGACCAAACCTTTGGCTTTCTTTATCATTTGTTTGAAATGCGGTCCTTTTGTACTTTACACTTTGGTTGTATTATGCATCTTTATTGTGTCTCTTGTAATTAGTTTTTGCTGTATTTATATCTATTGTTGCTTTTAGTATCGTCCTACTTCCACATTTTTATTCTTTTAAGTCTCTGTCTTACTTCTATCTCATAAATTGAAATTCTTGTTTATGTTTACTCCATTACTGTACTCAAGTGCTTTTTTAAAAAGTTAGTTTCTCACTTTTAACCTTTTACTGTTTTCTGATACTCCCTTCTGTTTGTAAAATGGATTTCTTTTTTTTTTCTGTAAACGTGTACTCATGCTGTGTCAGTCAGCTTTACTGCTAAATAGTGATGCAGAATAGTGATGTTTTTTCATGAGGTCAATAAAAAGCAACGGATGCAATTATTGATATATTTTTAAAAAAATATACTGTATTTATTAGCTTTGAATCATGTTATACAAATGAAGTATAAACAATATAAAAAACAACATAAAATATAAAATACAATACTATTTAACTTTTACAGAACTAGTCTGTAAACTGATGCACTCAAGTGAGCTCCGTGAATGTTGTCCTCAGTGTTTTCTGTTTAAAAAGGGGAAAAAAAGGAAAGGATTAGAAATCAGAAACACAAGAATAATCTTGAAACAGGGTTTTTTCTTCTTCTTCTGGTGTTTGATAGCTACTGATAGGGTAAGGAATTGATCTTACCGTGGCAGTAACTGAATAGCAATTTTCACCCACTGGTCTTCAGGATTGGCACAGATATGTCTGTTTTTCTCAGTCTTGAAACTGATGTTTAAAAAAAGTTCAGACATTAGTATCACAGCAGAGCTGGCAGTCAGTGTGGATTATGTGTTTTAGATGCAGTTACGATATTTTCCCCACTTACATTATTGCCCTGAGTTTGCAGTTGTCATCTTGGACTGTGTAGCTTTTCAGCCTTTTTACTGAGACAGGGTTTTGCTGGTACCGTGTGCAGCAATATTTATTGGAACCTTTGAAGGAAAGAACGAGACATTTCAGTGAAAACAGCATTTTACATGACAATATGACAAAAAACATTATAATAACGTCTCAGTGAATAATCGCTGAAGCCATACTCACTGCTTTCATCCAGTGCCACCAGCAGCAACACCAGCAGTACGGAGACACGCACGGCGAACTTTGCCATCCTCAGTAAATCAGCAGTGAATCAGTTTTCTGATCAGGATTCCCAGGGAGTCAGTGATGAAATGATTGTAACCGGCTGTGGCAGAGAAGTTTAAATACTGTGTGAGATGGAAGGGGAAATGTCCCACGAGAGGTCAGGGAGGTGGAAAACCCTGTCTGAGTCAAACGGGAAATGTGACTCGTCTTTTTTTCAACCACCGAAACCCCCTCCTCTGTGTACATTATGCAAAATTGTTTACTTTCATGATAGTAAGAGTTTAAAAATAATAATATGAACATGTAACATCTTTTAAAAGTTGCTATGTAATAATAATTAGCATATGTTTGCATAGCTGGACTGGTAATTTTTCATTTTTATGGGCCAATGGTTTGTTTTGTTTTTTTCGTTTTTTCCCGTAACGGTATAAACAATGAAAGGTGGTGGATTGGCCAGATGCTGGGAGACGTGTAAAAATAACTCAGTTGTTTGGTGGTGGCATCGCGGAGCTTCCACAGATTCAGTAACATTAGCAAGTGGTGGAGGCCAGCAGGTG